AACATTGTCTAGAAAAATATTAGCTCAAGCAAACCAACATTCACGCCTCAACACCAAATTTTTAATAACAATACAATAAATCATTGATAACGAAAAGTATTTCATTGAAAATAAACACAAAACATCAATAGAAAAATGTTCGACTTCAACATTATAAATGACATCAAAATTTTAACAAAGATATTAAAAACCATTAATATTGAATAAGTCACTAATAAGGAAATAGATTTTTGTAATAAAAAAATTATTAATAATACTCAGATGCAATGTTTAATGTCAAAAAAGCACTAAAAACGCATTAATAAGTAACATGTATTTAATGGATAATGCATTAAAAAACGTTGATAATGATAGCAACTAATGATTGTTAAGTACCTTATTAGATATTATTAATATCTTATTTTTCAAACATTGATAATGCTTATACACACCTATTAATAATGACACCAAATACGTTACTAACTTAGATTGAAAGATTAATAACCATAGTTATATCATTAAACGTAAATTCACTTTTGCTAATGTCATAAACAAACGAATTCCTAACAAGTATGCTTCTTGATAATGACATTTGACAAAGTTACAAACCTAAACGAAAAAATATTAATAATTCAAATCACTAAACATAAGCAATCATACAAATGAAATAAATTTTTGCTAATGGTTGTATTGTGCTTGAAAAAAAACATTGATAATATCACTTCAAATGATTATAAATCATTGCGAACCAAATTGATAATACGATGTAATAGTAAATAAACTTCAAGTACCAATAAATTGAAAACACAATTTCACTTTTGCTAATGTTACAAACAAAACATAACATAAAAAGTTAATAATGTCATATAAAATTATTAAAAAACATGTCGAACAACATTAATAATAACACAAACGAATACATAACAACGAAAAATCCCAAACCCATGCAACGAAAAGCCCTAATGATGATTCAATTTATAAATATTGATAATGTCATTACAAAACGTTAATACTTAGGACTTTGCTACGGCGACATGCATGTCACGGTGACATGCACTTTTCGGTCGACCTCATATAGGATTAGGTCGACTTAATCTGTTGTTTCAGTGTAAAAACAGTTTCATGGTGCCTACTTTAGAGATTCATATCTTACAATTGGTTAGATGGATATTGGAGATTAAAGGCTTGTTTTGAAGCTGAAGTGTCCCTCTACACATTAAAGTACTTGGGAGCTCAATAGAAAGTCCAGAAGACCATTTTTGAACCTGACCAAAAGGCTATGCCAAAACTGGGAAACTGCCTGAAAATGGCTAAGTCTGGCAACGTGTTTGTCAAGCCTACTTTGTAGCTCAATTTGAGAAGCATGGATGCGAGTCAAGTCCAGGGGCCTCTACCACGTTAAATTACGTATTTTTTATACAAAGGAAAGGCATTGGATGAAAGATTGAATATTTTTAAGGCTGTAAACAAAATGCTCGAAGTTGCTACGAAGTCTGTTTTTCTGGCAGCTTGCTTGTGCTCGAAGTCTGCCAGAAAAATAGCCTTCGTAGCAACTTCGACCCTTTTGTTTGAAGCCTTACAGATATCCAATCTTTCATCCAATGCCTTTAATTTGTATAAAAACATACCTAATTTAACGTGGTAGAGGCTCCAGGACTCGACTCGCATTCATGCTTCTCGAATTGAGCTCCAAAATAGGCTTCACAAACACGTTTCCAGACTTAGCCATTTCTAGTCAGTTTCCCAGTTTTGGCATAGCCTTTTGATGAGGTTCAAAAATGGTCTTCTGGACTTCCTATCGAGCTCTCAATCACTTCAATATGTAGAGGAACACTCCAGCTTCAAAACAAGACATTAGTCTTCAATTTCCATCTAGCCAATTGTATGATATGAATATCCAAAGTAGGCACTATGAACTGTTTTTACACTGAAACAACATATTATGTCGACCTGATCCTATATGAGGTCGACCGAATCCTAATGAGGTCGACCAGATCCTACATGAGGTCGACCGAATTCTAAATGAGGTCGACCTAATCCTAACTGAGGTCGACCGGAAAGTGCACGTCACCGTGACATGCATGTCACCGTAGGCATACCCTAATACTTAATACTATCGGAATTTGCCAAGATGTGAAAGAGACATATATTTTAAATTTCAAATTTCCATTTTAGAAAAAGAAAATTATTAAATTCGGATTTTATTAAATATTAAATAAAATTAATTTCATATTTCTTTTTAATTATAATGTAGAGAGGGGGTTATGGAGAAAATCATGGGAGGGGAGAGAAAGAGAATCATTAATTAATTATATTTGCATACCCCATTTACTCTTAAATACCTATTAACTACTAATCCCCATTAACTACCTAATCTACTACCAGCCAATAAAAAAGCTTTAAGATTTTCCTTAAGAAATGAGGCTTAAAGAGTTGAACTCAAGCACCTCTCGTGTTAATTGCCTTCCTCTCCCGTCCATGGAAACAGGCGGCGAGGGATAGGAACAGAGAATTGGAGATTTTTATTATTGTGCCCATTGTTCCTCTGATTGAGATAAATAATTGACTCTCCGCAATTCCCTGGCCGGCTCTCAATAGTCACTTGCCGTGATTCCACAACTCGAATTAAGTTAGTTTACAAAGTGAGTTTGATCAAAATTATCATATACTAAAAATAATTCAAAAACATTGAAGAAAACGCCATAGCTGTTCTTCCGTCATTGTTCATAAATACAAGTAAATAGTGGCTATTCATTCATTGTACCTTGTTGTTTAATTTGAGTACTATTAGTTTGCAAATGAGCCAAACCGTTTGCGAGCAACTCGACGTTTGAATAGGGAAAAAATTTGTTTGATACTTAACTCATTATTTAACAAGCCGACTCTTTACACTCTGTTTGGGAAGAGGGGTAAATGGGAGGAGGGTGCAAATGTGAGGGGTAAACACAGTTTCCAACACATCTGTACCTGTTTGGTTAATTTGGAACAGTAGGGGGTGCAAAACGAGAGTGCAAATTTACTGTTTCGGCTTACCCCCCGAATTGGGGTGCAAAGGAAGGAAGGAAGAGAAGGGGAGGGGGGAATTATGGAATTTTGTTTTTCTAATTGTGTTATATATAATTATATAATAATTAATATTATCAATTTCTTCTTTTTATAAATATTATTAATGTAAACATTATTCGGGGTTGACCATTTGACTCTGGAAACAAGTTTATAAATGTTCGTCAAGTCAAATCTAGATCTCTTGGTTGAATCGAATTTGCATTGAAAATTAGATATACAAGGTGTTTGTGGAAAAGATAGAGAGAAATTGTTTGGTTAACTCATTTTATTTGACTAAATAGTTAAAACTTACAAATTCGAACGCGTTTGACTAAGTTTGACAATTTAATATTAAACTAGACACGAAAACCCTATATAGAATTACCAGTTATGAGTTGAGCTTCGAGTTTTGAGATCGTTCGATCAATGATTATTACAATTGTTATAATTAATTATTATTTGAGCATTATTATATAATAACTATTTTTAGTAAAGTATATTTATTATTATATGGTAATCTTTATTTTATTATTTTATGATAATATTTTATAATTTTAAAATCTATTTTAAAATAATATAATTACTTACTTTGCACTTTATTTGCACCCCCTACTTTTTCATCCAAACAACAATTTACCCCTCCAGTTACATCCCCAGCAATTTGCACCCCCCAGCAATTTACCCCTCAACTTGCACCCTCCTGCAATTTGCACCCCTTGTTGCCAAACAGAGCGTTAGTAAACGAGCCAAGGTTGAACTAGACCATGTTTAGCTTGATTAGCTCGCGAGCTAGTTTGACTCGGTGGCTTGTTGAGTGAAGCTCGCAGGCTGGCTTATTTAGTGCTTGTTGAATAATTAATTACTCATATGAACATTAACATTATCTTGTTAATACGGATGTGTATGGAAATTAGTTGTTCTTTTTAGTTTCTTGTGTTTGTTTTATCATTTAAATTGTTATGTTTACACATTTTTCAACAAGAATAATTTCAAATCGAGCTCATATTGACCCAAGCTTGTACTCAGCATGACAAGTAGTGTTGATGAGCATTTACCGAGCTCTACTGAGTCGAGCTCGAGTTAAATTATTTTTGTTCAATCCGAGCATGAGCTCAAATTGGATTATCAAAATTCGAGTTCGAGCTGAATAATTTACTAACGGTCGAACTCCAACTAAACGAAAACTCGACTCATTTGCCACCCTAAATTGTACCATAGCATAGTGTCCTTTTAGATCTAATTGTCTTTAAAATTTGATTAACCAACAAAAAAAAATGATCACTAGTCTTAGATTAGATTTCAATCCCTTACATAACATAACATCTAATTATAAAAAAAAACTATATTTCTCTTATTTAGAAAAGAAAAAAAATACCAACAAGCTAAGAAAGTCGGCTTCTTCTGGCCTTCAGAAGCCCCAGCCTTTCCAGCTTGGGATACTCTTCTTCATTAACCACCACTCTCCCACTTCGTCGCCGATCCTTCAACCCCACGCGCCGCCCCAAACCACTGTCACCACTAGAAGCACCGTCGCCGCTTCCGGCGTCATTATCACCCGCCAACCCATTCTCCAGCGCCGCCACCAGATTCTCAAAGTAAGTCTTGCTCAACTTAGTCAGCTCAAGCAGCTTAATCCGAAAGGAAACGTACTCACCATCTCCATCGTCGTCTCGAATCCTCCCATCGCTTACGAAACGCTTCATCCCCTTCTCGGCACAGCCATGGAGCCTCTCCAAACACGTATAAGCCTGTCCCTGCAAATACTCGAAGAACTCCTTCCTCCCACCCACAACCTAGAACCCATAAGCATAAGTCCACTTCAGAACCCTCCTGCATTCCACAATCTGCTCCCAAGCTTCGATGAACAACTTAGTGTCGCCACTCTCATCCAATCCCCTCACTTCAGCCAAATCCTTGGCAGCAATTTGCCTCGATTTCTCGTTGGCCGCCCACCGGTCGTAGTAGTGCTGGTACCTCTACAATTCGGCTCTCAATTGGGGCAATGTGGAATCCTCCGGCGGCTGGTACTGATTGCAGCCGCCGTAGCCGTGGACGTCCCAATTCTGGAGGCAGAGCCAGCAGAACTGGTAGTTGCAAGGCGCGGCACATTTCATTCGCATACATCCGGCGTTCTTCTCGATCGGTTTCGAGCAATTGGGGCAGGGCTTCGTGTACGCTTTCTTCCAATTCTCGTTCGCCGATTCCAAATCGTTTTTCGCGATCCAGTTCTTCACGGTGATGCAATTGACCGGGCGGTGGGGCTCCTCGCAGCAGTTCCAGCAGAAGGCGTGGGAGCAGAGGCAGGAGACGTCGTAGTTGGGGTCGCCCGCCGCGGCGGCGAATTGGACGGCGTGTTCGCAGCCCGCCGCGGGGCACCACTTCAATTTCCTGTTCTCTTCGACGTACGATCGAAGGAGGTACTTTTGGTATCTCTTTCGATCGATTTCGTCGGCGATTTTGTTGATTAGGTCTTCCGTCACGGCGATCGTGCACGACGGCTCGGGACACCTCAGATTTAGGGTTCCGGGGCCGCCGTTGACGCTCGTGGCGAAGTACTGCCTCCAACAGTCGCGACAGAATTGGTGGCCGCAAGCGGCGGAATTGAACGAATCGGGAGAGAAGGAGTCGAAGCAGATTCTGCAGTCCGATTGATCGGCCGCCGCCGCGGCGGTAGGGTTATCCATGGCGGAGAGACCAACTCTGTGGCGGAGCTCGGATTCGTTGGTGAACCATGAGTCCTGAAGCTTGTAGGCGTCCCAATTGGAGTGACGGAGGAGGATGCTGGCCTCGGAATTGGAGAGGCAGAGCAAGGCGGATAGTTGGCCGATCTCGTCCTCCATCCGCCGCCGGATTTCGTCTTCCTTTAGTACCTGAAAAGGAAGTTCCGCCGGCCTAAGGCTGTCAACTTCTTCTGCCAAGAGGCCGGCGGTATCATCATCTTCTACTTCGGCGTCCAGATAATCATCGTCGGTGTCGTAGTGCACGCCAAAACCGTCATCGGCGCTCATATTTGCTAGCGGCGGCAGTGTAAACCTTACTAGAGAATTCTGGGATTTTCAGATTTTGTTGTGTAGGGAAGATTTGGGACTTTTTAAGCTTTCCGTTTTGTCCGACAGTTGAAAACCGAGACGGGAGGTTGGCAAACCGGTTGAGCAGGTTTAGCAAGCGGTATGGTTTGATTGGAATATAATTCGTTTGTGCTTGTTCATGTCGGTTTAATAAAACATGTAAATTTGTGAAAAATTATTAACATACAATGAATTTAAGCGTATAAAAAGTATATTTGAAGTCAATCTACTTATAATCTGCACTAAATTTGAACTCACTTAACTCTTAGAGTATACACATCAATGCAATTGCAAGATCAATTGAATATGTTGTTCCTATTGCCAACAAAGTCTCGCAAAAGGGAACCAGAATTTGTCAAAGTCTCGATCAATCAAAGAAAGCATAAACGCACAACACCAGATTTACGTGGTTTCCTCAACGATGCTGATCGTTGAGACTAGTCCACGACACAAGGCAGAGTTCTTGATTATTGCTCACGTACACGTTACATCAGAAACTCAGCCATACAACACTTATATTCTAGGTCGAGTATTAACCCTAAATAGGTTAATTAGGGTTAGGTACTCCTAACTTTTAACACCCTCCCTCAAATTGATGGTGATGTCGCAACATCAATTTGTGTGCTAGAAACCAATGACGTGATGAAGACACTGTTTTAGTCAACAAATCTACTGTTTGATCCTCCGACGTAATATATGCTAACTCCACAGAACCCTCTATCACTAGCTGTCGAATATAGTGAACGTGAACTTTTATGTGTTTGGTCCTATCATGTAAGACCGGATGCGTAGCAATACGAATAGCACTGGTGTTGTCAACAAACAATCGAACAGGATTAGCAATCTTTACTCCTAGCTCGGCCAACAGTCGACACAACTAGGTGATCTTAGAAGCAACCTCACTCATGGAACGATATTCGACTTCTGTGGATGACTTTGAAACACGATCCTGCTTCTTACACCGCCATGAAATAAAGGAGTGACCCACCTTGACACACAACCCAAAAGTCGAACGTCGTGTATCAAGACAACCAGCATAGTCTGCATACACATCCATCACAACCTCGCCACTTGAAGGAAACAGCAAACCGACCTCCTGACTGCCGTGGAGATAGCGGAGAATTCGTTGAACTGCAGTCCAGTGAGTAGTTTGTGGTGCAGACATAAACTGACTCACAACATGTACAACATATGAAATATCCGGACATGTGTGAGTCAAGTAGATCAAGCTGCCTACTATACTGTGATATAGTGAACCATTAGAAAATAAATCGTCATCCCCCTATTGAAGCTTGAGATTCTGTTCCATGGGAGTAGCACAAGGAGTACACTCATCCATCTGCGCCTCTTCGAGTAAATCAAGTACATACTTTCGCTGACCAACATGAATACCAGCAGGAGAAAGATGAATCTCAAGTCCCAAAAAGTAAGAAAGATCACCTAATTCGTTCAAATTAAACGCAGATCACAGAGTCTGAGTTATATCCTGAATGCCTTCGACATCATCTCCGCTAACCACCATATCGTCAACATAGATCAAGAGAACTGTGAGGCCGCAGCAGAAGAACGCAGGAATAGGGATGGATCACTATCACTCTGCACAAAACCAGCCTGAATAATAGTAGCATGAAACTTCTCAAACCACGCTCGGAGCCTGTTTCAATCCATATAATGAATGACGAAGCCTACACACCATAGAGCTGTCGCCCTTTGTATAACCAAGAGGGAGCTCCATGTATATAACCTCCTTGAGATCACCATGGAGAAAGGCGTTTGTCACATCCAACTGAATCAACGGCCAATTCTTCATAGCTGCGACAGCTAAGAGACTCCAAACTGTTTGCATCTTTGCAACCGACGCAAAGGTCTTGGCATAGTCAACGCCATACTCCTGACGAAACCCTTGCGCCACTAACCGTACTTTAAAATGCTCCACGGTGCCATCAGGATTTATTTTGATAGTAAAAACCCACCGAAAGCCAATAATAGAGAACTCAGAAGAGCGGGGAACCAAATCCCATATATGAGCAGCTTCGAGGGCTTACGTTTCAACATTCATGACATTATCCCATTCAGCATGCCCCTTGGCTTGCTTATAAGTGGCAGGAACAAAAACAGCTGGGGTGGAAAAGGTAATGAAATCGGAATGCCAAAGAGGAGGCTGACCTCTAGTGATCCGATTGGATCGTCGCAGCTGAGGAACTTTAGCTTCCACGGGCTGAAGAGAGGCAGGTGAGGAAGTGGGAGGCGAGGATCCACTCAACTGAGTGGAGTCCACACTGCTGCCTGTGCGAGGAGAGCTACTGCTCGTGCCAGAGGAGGAAGAACCACATGTACTAGGGGAAGAAGGAGATGAAGGAGAGGAGTCAGCAGAGGAGGAGTGACCGGATGAGGAGGTACTCGAGGATGAGTCGCCCAGCGAGGAAGAGGAGGTAGATGGGTCTGCGGGTGGTGGATCATCCATGGGAGAAGTTTCAAAAAATCCAAATCCGGTGGGACAGAGGTCTCTGAAACTGAAGCTCCAAAATATAGCATGTGTTCAAGAAAAACCACATGACAAGACATCCGAATTCGGAGAGCAGTAACATCATAACACACATAACCTTTTTTGTGTATCGAAATAGCCCAGGAAAACACACTCAATAGATTTAGGAGTGAGCTTATTCTTCTCCCGTCGAGTAAGCAGAACATAACACACACACACCCAAAATCACACAGCCATCCATAATCCAGGATACGAGAGTATAAAACTTGATACGGACTTTGCTGCTGCAGAATCGGAGTAATCTGTCGATTAATCAGATAAACCGTAGTATGAACGGCCTCAACCCAAAAATTCGAGGGAACCAGCGAGTGAAACAACAGTGCTCGAGTCAATTCAAGCGCATGTCGATTCTTTCTCTCCACCAACCTGTTTTGTTGCGATGTACCAGTACAGGCATGTTGAGATACAATACCCCGTTCACGGAGGAGATTCTGTAAGGGATTGGAGGTGTACTCCCCTCCAAGATTAGAACGTAGTATCTTAACTGTCCGATCAAACTGAGTAGAAACCATTGCCAGAAAATCCTGTGCAACAGACAACAACTCGGATTTCTGACGCAGAAAGAACACACATGTTAAACGTGTGGCATGATCCACAAAGAGCAAAAAAATATCCATACCCCAAGCGAGATATCGCAGGTGATGGTCCCCACAAATCCGTGTGCACAAGATCGAACGGATCAGAATAAACAGTAGTGCTTGAAGTAAAGGAATTCTACGTCATTTTAGCTTGCAAACAATGAACGCATTCATGAATGTGATCACTCAAAATAGTACCAGATAACCATTTATTCTGAAACATAGTGCGAAGTCTCACAGAATTAGGATGACCCAATCGAAAATGCCATAAATCCCAGTTAGATAATTTCACCGAAGAAACTAAATTATCTCTAGCAAAAGAAAACACACTTTCCCCATTAGCACCCTACTGCCCGGCGCCAAGATCCAACCTCCCTTCATGCCGCTGCACCTCTGGTATCCCGGTTCGAGAATAGGAATCCAACAGAAATGTCTTGCCCTTCTTAGTGCCTCTCCCGATCCTCATGTCCTGCACAACACACCCGATCTTATCAAATGTAATCCGACAACCATCCTCAGCTAATTGACCCACGGAGACAAGGTTGGGCACTAGCTTAGGAACATAGAGAGTATATGGGAGAGAGATAGAAGGCCGAACTATATGACCCACACCCTCAACAGACATAAGTGTTCCATTTGAAACTTGTAAATCGAGACAAGGAACAAAAGTATCAAGGGTACAAAATAATTGACGAGAATCGGTTATATGCAGCCGAGTCAACATGCAAAGGAGTTGTAGAAGAGACCGTACCCATAGCAAAAGCAGAAGTCAGAGCCATGGGCAAAGCCTCCTTCAATGCTTCCTGCACAAGCCGCCGGACATCAGTCGATGTCAGAGAGGAAGCCGAGTCGTCCACAGGCGCCGTGGTAGCATAAGCAGCCCCAGGAAGAGAAGTACCACATGTTGCCCCTCCTCCTCGGCCACGACCCCGACGCGCAAGCATAGGGCAGTCAACAAGCGTAGTTGCTCCCAATAACTCGAGTTGTTGGGAGAGATTCAATCGTTGATCATATACAGTTTACTAACACCCCCTTCAAACTCAAGACATTCAGATAGACTTGGAGTTTGGGCAGGCACAGGTCCGGACACCGTGTGCTTAACAGAAACGGAAACAGATGGGGGTCACCGGGATTCGAACAGAAGACCTCACGGTCACAGAAGGCTCTGATACCATGTCAAAGTCTCGATCAATCAAAGAAAGCATAAACGCACAACACCAGATTTACGTGGTTTCCTCAACAATGTTGATCGTTAAGACTAGTCCAGGGCACAAGGTAGAGTTCTTGATTATTGCTCACGTACACGTTACATCGGAAACTCAACCATACAACACTTATATACTAGGTCGAGTATTAACCCTAAATAGGTAAATTACAGTTAGGTACTCCTAACTTCTAACAGAATTTACACTAACTATGTATAAACCTTAACTCAACCTTGCGAATAAAAAAGAACTACAACCCATTTAACTAGCAACATAGTATCAACCTCATCTTTGACAATTTTGACAATATCCAAAACCTCTCTTCGGCCACTGCCGTAAATTCGACTGCACTTTCTCCTCAAATATGGCTTATCATAGACTGCCAGATGAGTCTACCAGCTGCACAATCAGGATCAACTCTGCCAAATTGCTGGATTTGCCCAGTGAACTCCTTCAGCCCAATTGACATGCTGCCAAGAAGTGATCCTGCCAAAGAGCTGCTGAAACACTTTGGAAAAAACACACAAAAACCATATGAGTGGTCATGAGTTTCAGCTACTTGTGTACAAAGAAATTACTGCAAAGCTTTTCAACCTCTCGGCTCACTGTCTT